GGAAATGGAAGCGCTGAAGAGACGCCGTGGTGAGTTGAAGAGGCAGTGTCGCCAAGCGGCCAGGGACAGTAAGGTGCTGGCGAAGAAGAGACAGCGGCTGCTGCAGGCGGGCTGCGGGCAGGTTGACTCTGCCGCAGCTTTGTGCCTGTGTCCATGCTAGGCTGCGAAAAACTTGAGCGCAGAGGACTTGCAGCTGTTGCTGCGCGCGGCGGAGCAAGGCCGGCTTGTTTGGGCTGACTTCTGGCGGCGCTCGTGTAGCCAGGCCCCGAAGGTGGCGAAGGCGAAGGAGGTGGTGGGGTTGCTGGCTGCGCCTTGTGTGCGCAATTGCGCACGCAGGTGATGGCGCTGCAGGCGGGCTGGGGTATGTAAGTTAGAAGAGTTTTGTAGTAAGTTAAATTAGTATTTGGAGTTTTAAGAGGGAAGATAGTTAGGTAGAGTAGTAGGTTTAGAGGGGCTTAAGAAGTTGCCATGTGTTTTTTTTGTCAATGTTGCTGCGATGTGGCCAGGCGCTCCCGCGCCCAGAGCTGGGGAGAGAGGTGGCGGGGTTCCTCAGTTGGGGTTTGGCAGCACCTCACAAGGGTTGGTATCTTCTTCGTGGCTTTGCCAGGTGTGGAGGATGCTGGCGCAGGGGCAACTCGTGAGCCCGGCTCACGAGTTGCACTTGCTTCGAGCTGACCAGACAGGCGGAAGCGTTTGCAGTGTTGCTAGGCGACGAGGGTGCAGTGGGAGTTGGAGATGAAGGCGGGCCTGGCTCAAATTGTGTGTTTGTCAGTTCTTGGTGCAGCGGGGCACGTTGCCAACTTGGAAGTTGGTGCCCGGCCATGTTCCAGGGTTTGGGGGGCCGTTTTTGGTTTGAAGTGGGTTTTTCCATTGGGAGAAGCAGGGCCAAGCAGCGCAAAGGCAATTGCAAAAAATGTCCAGCCGGACGCTGGGCGCTTAGGGTTTAGGGTCTTGATTTGTCAGTCTGCTTGCGCCCCCGCGCCGGTGCTGAAAACGTAAAGAAGAACGCAGGCAGCGTTTTCGGCTTCTGGTTTTCCTTCGCTGTTCCGGGGGGCTGGTTTGTGTAAAGAGGACACTGAACTTTGCTAGCTTTGAGCTTGCTTGCTAGGCGAAGTCGACGAGGCTGCAGCGGGGGTTGGAGACGAAGGTGGGCCCCAGCTGGCTTTGTTTTGCCGTTGCTCATTCGGGTTCACTTGTTGTGAGATACGGTTGTTATTCATGGTTGTTTTAATTTGTGTTTGCTATCTTTTTTTGGGGGCTTATCAATATTGCTGTGTGTTTTGCCAGCCCTTTGGAGCAGCGTCGCAACTGGAAGTTGGTTGCCGTTTTTTGGTTTGAAGTGAGGGTTTTTTCTACTGGGAGAAGCAGGGGTAAGCAGCGCAAAGGCAAGGCAATAAACTGCAAGGAAAAGCCCACGGGCGCTTAGGGATTAGGGTCTTGATTTGTCAGTTTGCTTGCGCCCCCGCACCGGTGCTGAAAACGTAAAGAAGAACGCGGGCCAGCGTTTTCGGCTTCCGGCGTTTTTCCTTCGCTTTTCGCTTTTCGCGGGGGCTTGGCATGGCTTACAAAAGGACATGGAATCTTTGCTAGCTTTGAGTTCCTTGCCAGGGGCAGATAGCGTGAGCTTGCGTTGACGCGGCGGCAGGGCAGGCTGTGTGCGTTTCACCGCTGACAGGAAACGCTGCCCACTGCGCAGTGTCTGAGTGAGGGAAGTGGCGGAGCGAGGGACATGTGGTGGAGTAAGGGAGACGCGAGATGTTTGACGCTGCGCTTGTGTTTCTGCAACAAACGTGTGTGCTTGTTCAAGTTGCACGCCCGCTGAGGCCGCTGAACCATGCTTGCTGGGGATGCAAGACAGGCAGGGCAGCGTGTGTGTGTGTGTGTGTGTGTGTTGGAGTGCGTGGCCAACTCATTGTCAGAAGTGCGTCTGCAGTTTGGGCTTTTGGCCCTGGCTGCCCCACCATGTCGTCTGCCTGGGACCAGTCCCATGGCAGACACCCAGAGCGCTCGCGCCATGTGCGAGCTTTGCGGCGCGTGGCGAAGCTGCACAACGTCGCGCCAGTGGCCGACAACGCAGCTCGCGCCAAAGTTGAGGCCTTGGCTGAAAACCTTTTGAAGCTGCGTCTAGAGCCCGACGAGGCAGAGGCAGTGGAAGCTGCTGTGAAGGACTTCCTGGCTACGTTTCGGCCGCCAGCCGAGCAGCCGAAGCTCCGCAAGAAGAGGAGCCAGCGGCAGAGGAGGGAGGTGGAGAGGGTGCGAGCGGGAAAGTGTGGAAGTTTTCTGCTGTCCAGCTGACGTACACTGCGTCTCACGGCGACTGGGTTGCCTCCAACACAGACCAGCTCCGTGACTTGTTTTCTCGGTTCGCAACTTTTCTTGGCGCCGTGAAGCAAGAGCTGAGCGCCATAGGTGTGTCTGCTACGATGGAGAGGGCGTCGGCTAGACAGGTCCACACGCATGCTTACTTGCACCTCTCCAAACCCTACCACAGGCGTGGCGCTGAAGCCCTTGCAGTTTTCCGTTTTGAAGGAGTTCGGCCTCACGTAACGCCCAACACCGCCAGCGGCAAGTCCTACCCCGGGGCCATGAGGTTTGGGCACTTCTACGTGGTGACGCTGCGCCTTGGTGACTCTGGGCAAGTTCCGGACTAAAATTCTGGGGTTGGCTCACACGTTTGCTCTGTTTTTGAGGTTTTGAGGTTTCGAGGTTACTCACCTTTTAGTATTATAGAACCCCGAGTAACCTCAAAACCTCAAAAACCTCAAAATCTTCAAATTCCTATGGGGAGCAGCAGCAACCTCAAAACCTCAAGAACCTCAAAATCTTCAAATTCCTATGGGGAGCAGCAGGAACCTCAAAACCTCAAAGCCTCAAAATCTTCCAACTCCTATGGGGGGCAGCAAAATCTTTTAAATTCCTACGGGGAAGCAGCAGCGACCTCAAAACCTCAAGAGTCTCAGACCCTTCAACCTGCTGTGGAGCAGCAGCAACTCCAAAACCTCAGAACCTCAAAATCTTTGGACCCCTATAAAGAGTGGCAGCAACTGAGGTTTACGCAGACGGACTTCCCACCCTTCAAGTCGTACGGGGTTGAGGGCTGGTGGCTGGATAACCTCCTGAAGGCGGGCAAATTGGACCGCGAGGTGTACCTGCGCTTGGCAGCTCAAGTCACCGTCGGCTTCCAGACGCGACTGGCCGACTGCCGTGCCGCTGAGCGGCTGGAGCACGACTTGGCCGTGCAAGAGGCGGTGGATGCAGCTGCAGCTGACCTGCGTGTTGCCACCTTGCCAATGAAGAGGTTTGCGGTGTAGCCGTTTGGCAATTGTTCTGAGGGCTTCATTGCCTGCCACGACGGGACACCCAGCTTTCGTCGCCCAGTGCTGGCCATTGTGGGTGGCACACGCTTGGGCAAGTCCATGCTTGCCGCAGACATCTTGGGCCGAATTGCCTGCAAATTGGGCGTCCCAAGCTTCTTGGAGGTCACGGTCGAAGACAGTCAACAAATGGACTTGGCGGACTTTGACCGCAGGAAGCACGCGGGTGTCTTCTTGGACGGGGTGGGAGACGCTTTCTTCTTGAAGCGGAACCGCGAAGCGCTCCAAGGGCGGCCCAAAATTGTAAAGGGCGCGCGGTCTGCAACCAATGTGTACAGCTACAAGTTCTCTTTTTGTGGCAGAGCTGTGGTTGTGACTTTTGATTTGAGCGCAGAGAATTTGGAGGCCTTGCGCTCAGACCATTGGTTGAGCAACCGCGAGAATGTGCAGTTGCTGTGGCTGACATCTCCGGCCTACGAAGAGCCGGAGTTGTCGGCAATTGAGCTTGACACCGCAAGCGAGGCAAGCGCCCGCAAGCGGCGATGGATTGGATCTCCTGCGCGTGGAGCTTCTTTGCCTTTATCTGGTTGAGGAATGTGTAGAAAAATGGGCGCGGTTGCTTGGCCATGTAAGAATCGGAAGTTGGCAAAGTCTTGAAGACTTTGAATTCTTCTTGTGCCACATGCGGGCTGCCTCTCCTGCCTGCCAGGAAAGCCCGCCGGCGTCGCTCTGGAGTTGCGGATCTCTGGCTCAGAGGCGCAAAGAGGTTTGCAGGCAAGGCGGGGTGGAAAGGCGTTCTTTCAATTGGTTGGGGGTAGTCGGGAAGTTTTCTTTTAGGGTGGGCAAGGGGAAGAGTCTGGGGGGCGAGGGAAGGGGTGGGGGAAGGTTTCTGAGAAGATGTTCTTTTTGCTTTTTGGGGCGGGGGAGGGTGTTAGGGATGCAAGTTTGGCCTGACCCTCAATGTCTCAAACTTTTTATGGGAGGGGTGGTAGGGTTGTGTCTGTTAGGTTCGTGTCTACTGAACGTCCAGCCCCCCTTCACCGCCTCGGCCCCAAAGCCGCCAAGCGAACTCAGCTGCTAGCCTTGATGGCCAAGGTCTATGTCGGCGAAGATGCCCCGCGCTCATCATGCTCTGTCCGGTTTTGGTTGTGTCAATTGCGCGCACCCAGTGTTTGCCTTCAGGCAGTGGTTCATGAGTACCCCGGGTGTACCATCTCCCTTGAAAACCTATGCTGTTTCTCGTCTGTTGGTGTTTTGTTTGCGTGTAGAGCTCGTTGGTCTTTGTGTTATGCGCCGCGCAGGAGGCATAGGCTCCGAAGAGCGTGCGCCGGAGGTGGGTGACGGAGTGTCTGTGCAACGCAGCGCGTGAGTTTTTGCGGGCAGTGTTTGGGTGCTGCTTTTGGCGCCAAAAACGCTTGTCAAAATGGTGCCAGCAAAGTGGTCCTCCTCGGTGCCGGCGCCCTAGGCTCCAAGCCAGCAGAAGAGTCGAGCCCTGCGACGGAGAGTTTTTGTAACTTCTGCCCGCAGCTGTGAAGTGGGCCACGGGATTGAGAGCTTGCTTGGCGCAGGATGTAAGGATGTAGGCTAGCTTATGGCAGGGCTCATGGAAACAAGCGAGTGTGTTTGAGCGCAGGGCAATTGTAGAGGGAGGCAACCATGTCGCAACCTCGCCAGCGGCCCTCCGAGATAGAAAAAGAGCTGACGGACATCCGGCGCCAGCTGCGCAACGCCGGCAAGCGGTTGAGGGCAGCCGCTCTTGTGCAGCAACCGGATGTTCGGGTCACTGCCAAAGTTCAGGTTGCAGCGCCAAGCTTGCCTTGGTCCCCTGCAAGCGTGCGAGATTTGCTCGTATTTATTTTTAGCGGGCACGACGCGCAGGTGGCAGCAGACTTTGCGCAGGGCTGGGGCAGGCGTGGGTGTGGGGCTGCTGCCCACGCGCAGCAGGCGCGTGAACATTTGGTTGCAGAAGTTGAGTGGGCGTACATTCGCGCGCCGCTGGCTTTCATTGTGCAGTTGGAAACCAACCCGCTGGAGGCTTGCCCAATGAACGACGTTCTTTGCGCATCTCGGTATGTGGTGCAGCACGAGCTTTTCCAATGGGTGGAGCGCCAAAACGTGGAGCAGGGTGTTGCTCCTTCGCGGCGGCAACTTGTGGAGCACGCCTTGAGTAGCGTCCCTCACACAGTGCCTGAGGAAGTGCGGCGGCTGGTGTCTGCTGTTCTGACTGGCTCACCGCGCAGTCAGCGCCGATGGCTGGCCAAGTTTCGGCAGCGCTGGGGCGCCCGCTTGAACAAATTAAAGCTTCAGCCTTGCGTGTCAATTGACGCCATGCAGAGGAAGGCTTGGGCGTGGGCGAAATCCAGATGCAACTTTTCGGCTCTTTTGAACGGCTCTGAGGGGGAATGTGGTCAACACGGGGGGCTGGTTTCGGGGCTCCGGGATGGGCCCGTTTTTGGAGTCGCTTTGGCTGTTGAGAAAGATTTGCTAGGGGCGGGGGCAAAGGGGGTCGTTTTTGGGGTCGTAGGTGGCGCCGCTTTCAGGCCCTTGGTTGGCAGGCGATGGCTTACTTCCAGTGGGTGAACGAAGCCTTGACAGCAGCGCCGACTGGGAGGTCGCCGTTGGTGATTAACATGGATGAGACTGCTGTGGTCCGGCATGTTTCCGGGCTTGTCGGAACTGTTGTCAGACACCCACGAGCGACAAGATGCCCGAAAGATGAGGCCACCTTGTCTGACGTGCGAAGCTACATTTCTTATTTCGCTAGCATCACTCATGACAGGGCTGTGCAGCCCATGCTGCCCCAGGTGTTGGTCGGAAATGAGCACCAGTTCCCAGTCAAACTCTTAGAAGGCTTGCGGCCGCTTCCACACGGTGTCCACGTGTGGCGCTGCAAGTCGGCGTGGAACAATCATGCGACAATGCGCCGTTACATTTCCCTTTTGGCGAAGAGTCTTGGAGATCTCGTCCAGCAGCGGTATGTTATCCTCTTGGCTGAGTGCGCCCTATCACACATAGACGTGTCGATCTTCAAGCATGCTCTCCGCTGTGGTGTGAGATTGGTCTATGTGCCAGCTTCCATGACGGGGGTGCTGCTGCCTTGCGACACACACCTCTTCTCGAGGTTCAAAGCAGCGTTTGCAGACATGTGGCGGAGGCAGAAGGCGGAGTGTGTGGCAGGAGTCGTTACCACAAATGATTGGGTTAGAGTGATTTGGAGAGCTGTGGAGGAAGTTGTGATGCGCGGTGATTGGCAGCAGGCCTTCGAATCAGCTGGCGTTCTCAGGCGCCAACAACGTCTGGCTGGCAATTTGCGTGAGAAGCTGGGTTGGGCGGAGCTGCCTGAGGTGCCTGCCGGCCCACCCGCTGTAGATTTGGCAAGAGAGATTTTCCCTCAGAGAATGCGGCTGGACGTGTTGTCCTATGTGCTGTGGAAGCCAAAGTGCCAGCGGAGCAGGGAGTCCGCAGAATGTTCAGGACGTCAAGTGGCTGGCAGACGTCGCCCGCTTCCTCCTTCTTTTGTCACTTCACGCGCAAGGAGCCCCCGGTGTCACGACAAGCCTGTGCGCACGCTGGATTGAAAACAGCTGTGTGGCAACTTGGGAGGACCGCTTGTTGTGGTGCCGCTTTTTTGCTTGTTTCTCGGGTTAGAAAACAGAGTCAGGGTTCCGCAGTTTGTCAGTGTCTGCGGAGGCCTTGCTCCACGAGGAAATGGAAGCGCTGAAGAGACGCCGTGGTGAGTTGAAGAGGCAGTGTCGCCAAGCGGCCAGGGACAGTAAGGTGCTGGCGAAGAAGAGACAGCGGCTGCTGCAGGCGGGCTGCGGGCAGGTTGACTCTGCCGCAGCTTTGTGCCTGTGTCCATGCTAGGCTGCGAAAAACTTGAGCGCAGAGGACTTGCAGCTGTTGCTGCGCGCGGCGGAGCAAGGCCGGCTTGTTTGGGCTGACTTCTGGCGGCGCTCGTGTAGCCAGGCCCCGAAGGTGGCGAAGGCGAAGGAGGTGGTGGGGTTGCTGGCTGCGCCTTGTGTGCGCAATTGCGCACGCAGGTGATGGCGCTGCAGGCGGGCTGGGGGAGATGCCTGGTCTTGTGCTCGTAATGTTTGCGCGCGCGTGGCCAGGGCGTCCCGCGCGTCGCGGGCACGCCCGCCCAGCACTGCGGGGTTTCTGTGTTGGGGTTTTTTGGCAGCACCTCACAAGGGTTGGTATCTTCTTCGTGGCTTTGCCAGGTGTGGAGGATGCTGGCGCAGGGGCTGGAGGCTCACGAGTTGCACTTGCATCGAGCTGACCAGACAGGCGGAAGCGTTTGCAGTGTTGCTAGGCGACGAGGGTGCAGTGGGAGTTGGAGATGAAGGCGGGCCTGGCTCAAATTGTGTGGTTGTCAGTTCTTGGTGCAGCGGGGCACGTTGCCAACTTGGAAGTTGGTGCCCGGCCATGTTCCAGGGTTTGGGGGGCCGTTTTTGGTTTGAAGTGGGTTTTTCCATTGGGAGAAGCAGGGCCAAGCAGCGCAAAGGCAATTGCAAAAAATGTCCAGCCGGACGCTGGGTGCTTAGGGTTTAGGGTCTTGATTTGTCAGTCTGCTTGCGCCCCCGCGCCGGTGCTGAAAACGTAAAGAAGAACGCAGGCCAGCGTTTTCGGCTTCTGGTTTTCCTTCGCTGTTCCGGGGGGCTGGTTTGTGTAACGAGGACACTGAACTTTGCTAGCTTTGAGCTTGCTTGCTAGGCGAAGTCGACGAGGCTGCAGCGGGAGTTGGAGACGAAGGTGGGCCCCAGCTGGCTTTGTTTTGCCGTTGCTCAGCTTGTGTGTTTGCCAGCCCTTGGCGCAGCGTTGCCAACTTGGAAGTTGGTGCCGTTTTTTGGTTTGAAGTTGAGGGTTTTTTCTCACTGGGAGAAGCAGGGGTAAGCAGCGCAAAGGCAAGGCAATAAACTGCAAGGAAAAGCCCACGGGCGCTTAGGGTTTAGGGTCTTGATTTGTCAGTTTGCTTGCGCCCCCGCACCGGTGCTGAAAACGTAAAGAAGAACGCGGGCCAGCGTTTTCGGCTTCCGGCGTTTTTCCTTCGCTTTTCGCTTTTCGCGGGGGCTGGCTTGCGTACAAAGGACATGGAACTTTGCTAGCTTTGAGCTTCCTTGCCAGGGGCTGACTAGCGTGAGCTTGCGTTGACAGCGGCGGCAGGGCAGGCTGTGTGCGTTTCACCGCTGACAGGAAACGCCCTGCCACCTGCGCAGTGGTGAGTGAGGGACAGTGGCGAGCGAGGGACAGTGGTGAGTAAGGGGCAGACGCGAGATGTTTGACGCTGCGCTGGTGTTTCTGCAACAAACGTGTGTGCTTGTTCAAGTTGCACGCCCGCTGAGGCCGCTGAACCATGCTTGCTGGGGATGCAAGACAGGCAGGGCAGCGTGTGTGTGTGTGTGTGTGTGTGTGTGTGTGTTGGAGTGCGTGGCCAACTCATTGTCAGAAGTGCTTCTGCAGTTTGGGCTTTTGGCCCTGGCGGCCCCACCATGTCGTCTGCCTGGGACCAGTCCCATGGCAGACACCCAGAGCGCTCGCGCCATGTGCGAGCTTTGCGGCGCGTGGCGAAGCTGCGCAACGTCGCGCCAGTGGCCGACAACGCAGCTCGCGCCAAAGTTGAGGCCTTGGCTGAAAACCTTTTGAAGCTGCGTCTAGAGCCCGACGAGGCAGAGGCAGTGGAAGCTGCTGTGAAGGACTTCCAGGCTACGTTTCGGCCGCCAGGCCGAGCAGCCGAAGCTCCGCAAGAAGAGGAGCCAGCGGCAGAGGAGGGAGGTGGAGAGGGTGCGAGCGGGAAAGTGTGGAAGTTTTCTGCTGTCCAGCTGACGTACAATGCGACCAGCTCCGTGACTTGTTTTCTCGGTTCACAACTTTTCTTGGCGCCGTGAAGCAAGAGCTGAGCGCCATAGGTGTGTCTGCTACGATGGAGAGGGCGTCGGCTAGACAGGTCCACACGCATGCTTACTTGCACCTCTCCAAACCCTACCACAGGCGTGGCGCTGAAGCCCTTGCAGTTTTCCGTTTTGAAGGAGTTCGGCCTCACGTAACGCCCAACACCGCCAGCGGCAAGTCCTACCCCGGGGCCATGAGGTTTGGGCACTTCTACGTGGTGTGCGACAAGAAGGGCACGCTGCGCCTTGGTGACTCCGGGCAAGTTCCGGACTAAAATTCTGGGGTTGGCTCACACGTTTGCTCTGTTTTTGAGGTTGAGGTTTTGAGGTTACTCACCTTTTAGTATTATAGAACCCCGAGTAACCTCAAAACCTCAAAAACCTCAAAATCTTCAAATTCCTATGGGGAGCAGCAGCAACCTCAAAACCTCAAGAACCTCAAAATCTTCAAATTCCTATGGGGAGCAGCAGGAACCTCAAAACCTCAAAGCCTCAAAATCTTCCAACTCCTATGGGGGGCAGCAAAATCTTTTAAATTCCTACGGGGAAGCAGCAGCGACCTCAAAACCTCAAGAGTCTCAGAACCTTCAACCTGCCGTGGAGCAGCAGCAACTCCAAAACCTCAGAACCTCAAAATCTTTGGACCCCTATAAAGAGTGGCAGCAACTGAGGTTTACGCAGACGGACTTCCCACCCTTCAAGTCGTACGGGGTTGAGGGCTGGTGGCTGGATAACCTCCTGAAGGCGGGCAAATTGGACCGCGAGGTGTACCTGCGCTTGGCAGCTCAAGTCACCGTCGGCTTCCAGAAGCGACTGGCCGACTGCCGTGCCGCTGAGCGGCTGGAGCACGACTTGGCCGTGCAAGAGGCGGTGGATGCAGCTGCAGCTGACCTGCGTGTTGCCACCTTGCCAATGAAGAGGTTTGCGGTGTAGCCGTTTGGCAATTGTTCTGAGGACTTCATTGCCTGCCACGACGGGACACCTAGCTTTCGTCGCCCAGTGCTGGCCATTGTGGGTGGCACACGGTTGGGCAAGTCCATGCTTGCCGCAGAACATCTTGGGCCGAATTGCCTGCCAAAAATTGGGCGTTCCCAAGCTTCTTGGAGGTTTCCACGGTCGAAGCTAGGTCATACAAAAAATGGGACGTGGCGGACTTTGACCGCAGGAAGCACGCGGGTGTCATCTTGGACGGGGTGGGAGACGCTTTCTTCTTGAAGCGGAACCGCGAAGCGCTCCAAGGGCGGCCCAAAATTGTAAAGGGCGCGCGGTCTGCAACCAATGTGTACAGCTACAAGTTCTCTTTTTGTGGCAGAGCTGTGGTTGTGACTTTTGATTTGAGCGCAGAGAATTTGGAGGCCTTGCGCTCAGACCATTGGTTGAGCAACCGCGAGAATGTGCAGTTGCTGTGGCTGACATCTCCGGCCTACGAAGAGCCGGAGTTGTCGGCAATTGAGCTTGACACCGCAAGCGAGGCAAGCGCCCGCAAGCGGCGATGGATTGGATCTCCTGCGCGTGGAGCTTCTTTGCCTTTATCTGGTTGAGGAATGTGTAGAAAAATGGGCGCGGTTGCTTGGCCATGTAAGAATCGGAAGTTGGCAAAGTCTTGAAGACTTTGAATTCTTCTTGTGCCACATGCGGGCTGCCTCTCCTGCCTGCCAGGAAAGCCCGCCGGCGTCGCTCTGGAGTTGCGGATCTCTGGCTCAGAGGCGCAAAGAGGTTTGCAGGCAAGGCGGGGTGGAAAGGCGTTCTTTCAATTGGTTGGGGGTAGTCGGGAAGTTTTCTTTTAGGGTGGGCAAGGGGAAGAGTCTGGGGGGCGAGGGAAGGGGTGGGGGAAGGTTTCTGAGAAGATGTTCTTTTTGCTTTTTGGGGCGGGGGAGGGTGTTAGGGATGCAAGTTTGGCCTGACCCTCAATGTCTCAAACTTTTTATGGGAGGGGTGGTAGGGTTGTGTCTGTTAGGTTCGTGTCTACTGAACGTCCAGCCCCCCTTCACCGCCTCGGCCCCAAAGCCGCCAAGCGAACTCAGCTGCTAGCCTTGATGGCCAAGGTCTATGTCGGCGAAGATGCCCCGCGCTCATCATGCTCTGTCCGGTTTTGGTTGTGTCAATTGTGCGCACCCAGTGTTGCGGAGGGTTTCGGCTCTGTCCAATTGCAAATTGCAAGCGCCTCCCTGAAACCTAGGCTGGGCTAGTCTGTCTGGTGTTTGTTTGCGTGTAGAGATCGTGGTCTTTGTGTTGCGCCGCGCAGGAGGCATGGCTCCGAAGAGACGTGCGCCGGAGGCGTGGGAGACGAGAGTCAGTGCAACGCAGCGCGTGAGTTTTTGCGGGCAGTGTTTGGGTGCTGCTTTTGGCGCCAAAAACGCTTGTCAAAATGGTGCCAGCAAAGTGGTCCTCCTCGGTGCCGGCGCCCTTGGCTCCAAGCCAGCAGAAGAGTCGAGCCCTGCGACGGAGAGTTTTTGTAACTTCTGCCCGCAGCTGTGAAGTGGGCCACGGGATTGAGAGCTTGCTTGGCGCAGGATGTAAGGATGTAGGCTAGCTTATGGCAGGGCTCATGGAAACAAGCGAGTGTGTTTGAGCGCAGGGCAATTGTAGAGGGAGGCAACCATGTCGCAACCTCGCCAGCGGCCCTCCGAGATAGAAAAAGAGCTGACGGACATCCGGCGCCAGCTGCGCAACGCCGGCAAGCGGTTGAGGGCAGCCGCTCTTGTGCAGCAACCGGATGTTCGGGTCACTGCCAAAGTTCAGGTTGCAGCGCCAAGCTTGCCTTGGTCCCCTGCAAGCGTGCGAGATTTGCTCGTATTTATTTTTAGCGGGCACGACGCGCAGGTGGCAGCAGACTTTGCGCAGGGCTGGGGCAGGCGTGGGTGTGGGGCTGCTGCCCACGCGCAGCAGGCGCGTGAACATTTGGTTGCAGAAGTTGAGTGGGCGTACATTCGCGCGCCGCTGGCTTTCATTGTGCAGTTGGAAACCAACCCGCTGGAGGCTTGCCCAATGAACGACGTTCTTTGCGCATCTCGGTATGTGGTGCAGCACGAGCTTTTCCAATGGGTGGAGCGCCAAAACGTGGAGCAGGGTGTTGCTCCTTCGCGGCGGCAACTTGTGGAGCACGCCTTGAGTAGCGTCCCTCACACAGTGCCTGAGGAAGTGCGGCGGCTGGTGTCTGCTGTTCTGACTGGCTCACCGCGCAGTCAGCGCCGATGGCTGGCCAAGTTTCGGCAGCGCTGGGGCGCCCGCTTGGGCAAATTAAAGCTTCAGCCTTGCGTGTCAATTGACGCCATGCAGAGGAAGGCTTGGGCGTGGGCGAAATCCAGATGCAACTTTTCGGCTCTTTTGAACGGCTCTGAGGGGGAATGTGGTCAACACGGGGGGCTGGTTTCGGGGCTCCGGGATGGGCCCGTTTTTGGAGTCGCTTTGGCTGTTGAGAAAGATTTGCTAGGGGCGGGGGCAAAGGGGGTCGTTTTTGGGGTCGTAGGTGGCGCCGCTTTCAGGCCCTTGGTTGGCAGGCGATGGCTTACTTCCAGTGGGTGAACGAAGCCTTGACAGCAGCGCCGACTGGGAGGTCGCCGTTGGTGATTAACATGGATGAGACTGCTGTGGTCCGGCATGTTTCCGGGCTTGTCGGAACTGTTGTCAGACACCCACGGGCGACAAGATGCCCGAAAGATGAGGCCACCTTGTCTGACGTGCGAAGCTACATTTCTTATTTCGCTAGCATCACTCATGACAGGGCTGTGCAGCCCATGCTGCCCCAGGTGTTGGTCGGAAATGAGCACCAGTTCCCAGTCAAACTCTTAGAAGGCTTGCGGCCGCTTCCACACGGTGTCCACATGTGGCGCTGCAAGTCGGCGTGGAACAATCATGCGACAATGCGCCGTTACATTTCCCTTTTGGCGAAGAGTCTTGGAGATCTCGTCCAGCAGCGGTATGTTATCCTCTTGCTGGATGTGCACCGCTCACACATAGACGTGTCGATCTTCAAGCATGCTCTCCGCTGTGGTGTGAGATTGGTCTATGTGCCAGCTTCCATGACGGGGGTGCTGCAGCCTTGCGACACACACCTCTTCTCGAGGTTCAAAGCAGCGTTTGCAGACATGTGGCGGAGGCAGAAGGCGGAGTGTGTGGCAGGAGTCGTTACCACAAATGATTGGGTTAGAGTGATTTGGAGAGCTGTGGAGGAAGTTGTGATGCGCGGTGATTGGCAGCAGGCCTTCGAATCAGCTGGCGTTCTCAGGCGCCAACAACGTCTGGCTGGCAATTTGCGTGAGAAGCTGGGTTGGGCGGAGCTGCCTGAGGTGCCTGCCGGCCCACCCGCTGTAGATTTGGCAAGAGAGATTTTCCCTCGGAGAATGCGGCTGGACGTGTTGTCCTATGTGCTGTGGAAGCCAAAGTGCCAGCGGAGCAGGGAGTCCGCAGAATGTTCAGGACGTCAAGTGGCTGGCAGACGTCGCCCGCTTCCTCCTTCTTTTGTCACTTCACGCGCAAGGAGCCCCCGGTGTCACGACAAGCCTGTGCGCACGCTGGATTGAAAACAGCTGTGTGGCAACTTGGGAGGACCGCTTGTTGTGGCGCCGCTTTTTTGCTTGTTTCTCGGGTTAGAAAACAGAGTCAGGGTTCCGCAGTTTGTCAGTGTCTGCGGAGGCCTTGCTCCACGAGGAAATGGAAGCGCTGAAGAGACGCCGTGGTGAGTTGAAGAGGCAGTGTCGCCAAGCGGCCAGGGACAGTAAGGTGCTGGCGAAGAAGAGACAGCGGCTGCTGCAGGCGGGCTGCGGGCAGGTTGACTCTGCCGCAGCTTTGTGCCTGTGTCCATGCTAGGCTGCGAAAAACTTGAGCGCAGAGGACTTGCAGCTGTTGCTGCGCGCGGCGGAGCAAGGCCGGCTTGTTTGGGCTGACTTCTGGCGGCGCTCGTGTAGCCAGGCCCCGAAGGTGGCGAAGGCGAAGGAGGTGGTGGGGTTGCTGGTTGCTGTTTGGCTGCGCCTTGTGTGCGCAATTGCGCACGCAGGTGATGGCGCTGCAGGCGGGCTGGGGAGTGCCATGTGCTGTAAAGTTGCTGCGATGTGGCCAGGCGCTCCCGCGCCCAGAGCTGGGGAGAGAGGTGGCGGGGTTCCTCAGTTGGGGTTTGGCAGCACCTCACAAGGGTTGGTATCTTCTTCGTGGCTTTGCCAGGTGTGGAGGATGCTGGCGCAGGGGCTGGAGGCTCACGAGTTGCACTTGCTTCGAGCTGACCAGACAGGCGGAAGCGTTTGCAGTGTTGCTAGGCGACGAGGGTGCAGTGGGAGTTGGAGATGAAGGCGGGCCTGGCTCAAATTGTGTGTTTGTCAGTTCTTGGTGCAGCGGGGCACGTTGCCAACTTGGAAGTTGGTGCCCGGCCATGTTCCAGGGTTTGGGGGGCCGTTTTTGGTTTGAAGTGGGTTTTTCCATTGGGAGAAGCAGGGCCAAGCAGCGCAAAGGCAATTGCAAAAAATGTCCAGCCGGACGCTGGGTGCTTAGGGTTTAGGGTCTTGATTTGTCAGTCTGCTTGCGCCCCCGCGCCGGTGCTGAAAACGTAAAGAAGAACGCAGGCCAGCGTTTTCGGCTTCTGGTTTTCCTTCGCTGTTCCGGGGGGCTGGTTTGTGTAAAGAGGACACTGAACTTTGCTAGCTTTGAGCTTGCTTGCTAGGCGAAGTCGACGAGGCTGCAGCGGGAGTTGGAGACGAAGGTGGGCCCCAGCTGGCTTTGTTTTGCCGTTGCTCAGCTTGTGTGTTTGCCAGCCCTTGGCGCAGCGTTGCCAACTTGGAAGTTGGTGCCGTTTTTTGGTTTGAAGTTGAGGGTTTTTTCTCACTGGGAGAAGCAGGGGTAAGCAGCGCAAAGGCAAGGCAATAAACTGCAAGGAAAAGCCCACGGGCGCTTAGGGTTTAGGGTCTTGATTTGTCAGTTTGCTTGCGCCCCCGCACCGGTGCTGAAAACGTAAAGAAGAACGCGGGCCAGCGTTTTCGGCTTCCGGCGTTTTTCCTTCGCTTTTCGCTTTTCGCGGGGGCTGGCTTGCGTACAAAGGACATGGAACTTTGCTAGCTTTGAGCTTCCTTGCCAGGGGCTGACTAGCGTGAGCTTGCGTTGACAGCGGCGGCAGGGCAGGCTGTGTGCGTTTCACCGCTGACAGGAAACGCCCTGCCACCTGCGCAGTGGTGAGTGAGGGACAGTGGCGAGCGAGGGACAGTGGTGAGTAAGGGGCAGACGCGAGATGTTTGACGCTGCGCTTGTGTTTCTGCAACAAACGTGTGTGCTTGTTCAAGTTGCACGCCCGCTGAGGCCGCTGAACCATGCTTGCTGGGGATGCAAGACAGGCAGGGCAGCGTGTGTGTGTGTGTGTGTGTGTGTGTGTTGGAGTGCGTGGCCAACTCATTGTCAGAAGTGCTTCTGCAGTTTGGGCTTTTGGCCCTGGCTGCCCCACCATGTCGTCTGCCTGGGACCAGTCCCATGGCAGACACCCAGAGCGCTCGCGCCATGTGCGAGCTTTGCGGCGCGTGGCGAAGCTGCACAACGTCGCGCCAGTGGCCGACAACGCAGCTCGCGCCAAAGTTGAGGCCTTGGCTGAAAACCTTTTGAAGCTGCGTCTAGAGCCCGACGAGGCAGAGGCAGTGGAAGCTGCTGTGAAGGACTTCCAGGCTACGTTTCGGCCGCCAGGCCGAGCAGCCGAAGCTCCGCAAGAAGAGGAGCCAGCGGCAGAGGAGGGAGGTGGAGAGGGTGCGAGCGGGAAAGTGTGGAAGTTTTCTGCTGTCCAGCTGACGTACAATGCGTCTCACGGCGACTGGGTTGCCTCCAACACAGACCAGCTCCGTGACTTGTTTTCTCGGTTCACAACTTTTCTTGGCGCCGTGAAGCAAGAGCTGAGCGCCATAGGTGTGTCTGCTACGATGGAGAGGGCGTCGGCTAGACAGGTCCACACGCATGCTTACTTGCACCTCTCCAAACCCTACCACAGGCGTGGCGCTGAAGCCCTTGCAGTTTTCCGTTTTGAAGGAGTTCGGCCTCACGTAACGCCCAACACCGCCAGCGGCAAGTCCTCCCCCGGGGCCATGAGGTTTGGGCACTTCTACGTGGTGTGCGACAAGAAGGGCACGCTGCGCCTTGGTGACTCCGGGCAAGTTCCGGACTAAAATTCTGGGGTTGGCTCACACGTTTGCTCTGTTTTTGAGGTTTTGAGGTTTTGAGGTTACTCACCTTTTAGTATTATAGAACCCCGAGTAACCTCAAAACCTCAAAAACCTCAAAATCTTCAAATTCCTATGGGGAGCAGCAGCAACCTCAAAACCTCAAGAACCTCAAAATCTTCAAATTCCTATGGGGAGCAGCAGGAACCTCAAAACCTCAAAGCCTCAAAATCTTCCAACTCCTATGGGGGGCAGCAAAATCTTTTAAATTCCTACGGGGAAGCAGCAGCGACCTCAAAACCTCAAGAGTCTCAGACCCTTCAACCTGCTGTGGAGCAGCAGCAACTCCAAAACCTCAGAACCTCAAAATCTTTGGACCCCTATAAAGAGTGGCAGCAACTGAGGTTTACGCAGACGGACTTCCCACCCTTCAAGTCGTACGGGGTTGAGGGCTGGTGGCTGGATAACCTCCTGAAGGCGGGCAAATTGGACCGCGAGGTGTACCTGCGCTTGGCAGCTCAAGTCACCGTCGGCTTCCAGAAGCGACTGGCCGACTGCCGTGCCGCTGAGCGGCTGGAGCACGACTTGGCCGTGCAAGAGGCGGTGGATGCAGCTGCAGCTGACCTGCGTGTTGCCACCTTGCCAATGAAGAGGTTTGCGGTGTAGCCGTTTGGCAATTGTTCTGAGGGCTTCATTGCCTGCCACGACGGGACACCCAGCTTTCGTCGCCCAGTGCTGGCCATTGTGGGTGGCACACGCTTGGGCAAGTCCATGCTTGCCGCAGACATCTTGGGCCGAATTGCCTGCAAATTGGGCGTCCCAAGCTTCTTGGAGGTCACGGTCGAAGACAGTCAACAAATGGACTTGGCGGACTTTGACCGCAGGAAGCACGCGGGTGTCATCTTGGACGGGGTGGGAGACGCTTTCTTCTTGAAGCGGAACCGCGAAGCGCTCCAAGGGCGGCCCAAAATTGTAAAGGGCGCGCGGTCTGCAACCAATGTGTACAGCTACAAGTTCTCTTTTTGTGGCAGAGCTGTGGTTGTGACTTTTGATTTGAGCGCAGAGAATTTGGAGGCCTTGCGCTCAGACCATTGGTTGAGCAACCGCGAGAATGTGCAGTTGCTGTGGCTGACATCTCCGGCCTACGAAGAGCCGGAGTTGTCGGCAATTGAGCTTGACACCGCAAGCGAGGCAAGCGCCCGCAAGCGGCGATGGATTGGATCTCCTGCGCGTGGAGCTTCTTTGCCTGTATCTGGTTGAGGAATGTGTAGAAAAATGGGCGCGGTTGCTTGGCCATGTAAGAATCGGAAGTTGGCAAAGTCTTGAAGACTTTGAATTCTTCTTGTGCCACATGCGGGCTGCCTCTCCTGCCTGCCAGGAAAGCCCGCCGGCGTCGCTCTGGAGTTGCGGATCTCTGGCTCAGAGGCGCAAAGAGGTTTGCAGGCAAGGCGGGGTGGAAAGGCGTTCTTTCAATTGGTTGGGGGTAGTCGGGAAGTTTTCTTTTAGGGTGGGCAAGGGGAAGAGTCTGGGGGGCGAGGGAAGGGGTGGGGGAAGGTTTCTGAGAAGATGTTCTTTTTGCTTTTTGGGGCGGGGGAGGGTGTTAGGGATGCAAGTTTGGCCTGACCCTCAATGTCTCAAACTTTTTATGGGAGGGGTGGTAGGGTTGTGTCTGTTAGGTTCGTGTCTACTGAACGTCCAGCCCCCCTTCACCGCCTCGGCCCCAAAGCCGCCAAGCGAACTCAGCTGCTAGCCTTGATGGCCAAGGTCTATGTCGGCGAAGATGCCCCGCGCTCATCATGCTCTGTCCGGTTTTGGTTGTGTCAATTGCGCGCACCCAGTGTTGCGGAGGGTTTCGGCTCTGTCTAATTGCAAATTGCAAGCGCCTCCCTGAAACCTAGGCTGGGCTAGTCTGTCTGGTGTTTGTTTGCGTGTAGAGATCGTGGTCTTTGTGTTGCGCCGCGCAGGAGGCATGGCTCCGAAGAGACGTGCGCCGGAGGCGTGGGAGACGAGAGTCAGTGCAACGCAGCGCGTGAGTTTTTGCGGGCAGTGTTTGGGTGCTGCTTTTGGCGCCAAAAACGCTTGTCAAAATGGTGCCAGCAAAGTGGTCCTCCTCGGTACTCCGACGACGGCTCCGAGTTCAAGAGGGAGTTCAAGGAGCTGATGGATTTCTGGGACATCGAGAAGCAGGTGACCAGGGGCCACGCCTACTTCGCGGAGCGCACCATCCGCACCATCAAGGAGGCCATGTTGCGTCGCATAGCAGCCGGAGGGCCGGCGGGGGCAGTGGCACCTCATGCTGGCTGACATCTTGAGCCAAATCAACGGAAGGAAGCACGCTACCACGCAGGTGGCGCCGAACCTCGCCTACTCTGACCCCGAAATGGCTGAGATTGCTCTGCGCAACATCGAGCGCAGGGCCAAGCACAAGGTGACCCGCCCGGAAATCAAGGTCGGGGATATGGTTCGAATCAGGGTTAAGCCGATCGAAAGCAGGGGCTCCTACAGGGTCAACGAGATAGCCTGGAGCGAAAAGGTATACAGGGTTGTCTCCGCCGAGAGCGGGGAGATGGGGGCGAGGTTTGGCTTGGAGGGGTGGCCGGAAAAGGTGGTGCACAGGGATCTCCGAAAAGTCCCCGAAAACTCAGCTCCCGAACCGCGGGGGCTGGAGGTGCAGTCCCGCCAGAGGAGGCTACAGAGAAGGCTCCCACCTCCCTTTTGATGCTCTCTGTGCCTCTACGTCTCTACAGCAGACAGCTCCGCCTGCCACTCACTAATGAGCTCCTCAGCGTCGGGTTGGGGGCTTCTCGGCGAGCCCTCGTCGTCATCGCCCCACCGAGCGCGCCATGTGACACCAGCCTCAAACCAGCGCAGGGCAAGCTCTGCCCGCTGTGCGCGCGTGGCCGGGGTGCGAAGAGCCGTAAAGATTTGACCCGTGCTCGGTGTCTTCGAGCTTTCTCGCGAGGTCTCGGACATCCAAGTCCGCGGCGTGCAGCTGCTCCTCGAGGAGCTCGATGCGGCGGCGCTGGTGCGAGCGCTCGGCCTTCAGCAGCGCATCCTCGCGAGGCCGCTTGTTGGGAGGCCGCTGGGCCGTCAGAGCAGTCGCAAGGCAGCGAGCGTCCCGCCCCACCCACGCGGCGGGCTTCTCCATAAGCCATGCCTGCACGCATCGGAAGGCCGCCGAGGAAGTCATCTTGAGCAGCTGCGGCGGATCGAATATGCATATCGAGAAAGCGAGAAAACGAGAGCTCGGGATCTTTTTTAGCGCGTCCTCAAGCTCACTCGAGGATCTCGTCGAGGCGCTCCACCCGCCGGCGGATGTTGCTGCGCTCCAGCTCCGCAACGCGCTGCTCCGCCCGCACCGCTCGCTTGCGGGTTTGCCTGAGGTACTCGTTCTTGCGCTCCAGCATCCAGCGGAGATTTTTGTTGTCGCGCTCCCGCTCGCGGCACAGAGTTTCATCGAGGAGCTGCAGCCCACGTTGCCCTGCGCGGTGAGCCCGTCCAGCGTGGCCGAGCCCGTGAGGGCCAGCGAGTCCGCCAGCAGGTCCGTCACGGAGACCGACTCTCCCACGAAGGCTGAGGCCCTGATCTGCATGCTGTACAGGTCCAGCGTGCCCGCCGACTGCACCAGCCCGGGGAGGTGCGAGCGCTCGGCCTCAAGCAGCGCGTCCTCGCGAGGCCGCTCGTAGGGAGGCCGCTGGGCCAGAGCAGCCGCAAGGCAGGGAGCGTCCTCGTCCGCCCACGCGGCGGGCTTCTCCCGAAGCCATGCCTGCACGCACCGGAAGGCCGCTGAGGAAGTCATCTTGAGCAGCTGTGGCGGATCTTTTTTTTCGGTTCCGACTGTCTACGCCCAGCAGCGGCTCAGCCGCAGCGGCAGTGTCGGAGCGGGCCCCAGAGGCGGGGGCCCCACGAGGAACTCCATCACGAGGTCGAAGGGCGCGGAGCCGGGCGGAGCGTAAGCGCCCAGCATCCGTGTCCCAGTGGGCGCGAGTTGTGAGCGTCGAGGCCGTAGACCTTGTCGTTGAAGGGCGAGAGGGACTTCTTCTCGACGGTCTCCACGGCGATCTCGCGCGCGCGGCTGCGCAGCTGCGCGAAGGTCGCCCTGCGCTCGCTGCCTTCCTCCAGCGCCTCCCTGCACTCGAGATGCCGGACGTTGGTCACCGCCTTCTTGGGCACGCCCTTGATCTTGCGCTTCTCCTTGCGCGCGCCGTCGGCTGGACCGTGAGGATGCTGTCATCTTGGAGCGCAGGCCGACGTACTCCAGGATTCTGGCGGGGAAGGTCTCGTCGCCGAGCTTGCCCAGCAGCCCCATCACCTCGATGGCCTTGGCGCGCGCCGCAGCAGAGAGTGCGCTCAGGTCCCTCTCGGGGTCCTTGGACTTGCCGGCCACGTCGAAGAGGGCGGCGCCGTTCAGGTTCGCCTCAGCCATGGCGTGGAGCGGGTCCTGCAGCTCGAAGATCTGCACCATCACGGTGTCGGTGTCCGTGAAGAGCAGCCTCATCTTCGGGAAGAGCCTCCTCATGTGGAGGTAGTAGGCCTTCTCCATCATGAGCTTGGAGAGCTGCAGCGTGCGAGCGCCGACTTGGGTGGGCACGCTCACGCAGGCCTTGCTGCGGTTCGTCTTGAGCGTCTCCACGAAGGCCAGGAACCCCTCCGAGTCGTTGATCTGGAGCTCGAAGTTCGTCACGGAGCTCTTGCCCACGGCCCGCTCGAACTTGGCCGGGTCCACGTAGGCGTTCGTGTTCCTGAACTTGTCGGGGTTAATGCAGCAGCGGCCGAAGATGGCGTTCTGGGTGAGCTTCACCACCTTCTCGGCGACCACGCTCCCCGCCGTCTTGAGCTGCCTCCGCTCGCTGTGCTTGAGCTCCATGAAGCCCGCCATGAAGGGGCTGCTGGCGAAGCGGTAGGCCCTGTGCAGCCTCCAGACCCTGGCGCCCAGCACGTCCCGCAGGAACTTGAGCCGCTTGCCGTCCAC